ATATATATATATATAGGTGTCCATCAACAGCTCATTTTCATACTTTCAACAAATTGTAACCTAAATAAAATAACCAAATCTGAACCTTTTTCTATTCTTCTTTTCTCTTTAGGATACAAAAAACAACAGTACCCACGACTTGTCACGCAGCCCTCAAAGCCTCAGTGACACCGGCTACTCCTCTGATGGGATCTCAAGCTCACACAGTGAAATTACAGGCCTAATCCAGGAGGAGGAGATGAAGCTGAGTGAGAGGGGCATCATTGGGCGGGGCTCCCCGCCAAGCCCCTCTGAAATCACCAAACTAGAGAGCTCCATGAGGCCACTGTTAGAAAAGAGCTTCTCTGAGGAGAAACCAGACAGAAGAGGAAGGAAACACAGGGACAGAGACTTGGATGACAGAGGAAAACAGCGCCCACGTTCGCTTTCAATCCCACCAGATGCGTACGACTCTGACGAGGAATTAGGAGATATACTGGAGGAAGAGGAAGATGGTGGAGACTGGGAGGGGAAAAGGAAAGAAGGGAAAGATGACAAGAAAGAGAAGAAGAAAAAGGATAAGGAGGCTGACCCCACCGAGATGACGGACGAGGAGTTCATGAGAAGGCAAATAATGGAGATGAGTGCAGATGAAGACAATGAGGAGGAGGACGAAATGGAGGAAGACGAAGACGAGGAAGATGAGGGTTACGGCTACCAGAAACCCAAGAAAATTCACCACAAGCACATCATGTCTGATTCAGGGAAAGAAAAGAGACGCCTTCAGCACCATTCTAGCAGTTTTGAAGAGGAAACCAAGAGCTCCACTGATGTGTACAAGAGCTCGTTGGAAGAGGGTGAGGAAGACGTGATGGCATCGCAAGGCGGCCTGAGGCGCTTCAAAACGATTGAACTCAACAATACTAACAGCTACAGCAGAGATATAGAGCTGAGCCATGAAAATGATTTAAGCCTCGATCGGGAACCAGAGCTGGAAATGGAGAGCCTAACAGGATCTCCTGAGGAGCGTTCAGGTCGTGACTATTCTTCAACTCTGCCCCCGACTTCATCCTCGTACGGCTCAGGGCAGTCTCCCACGTCCATCTCATCGATGGAGGAGGACAGTGACAGCAGCCCTAGCAGGAGGCAAAGACTAGAGGAGGCCAAGCAGCAGAGGAAAGCACGCCATCGCTCCCATGGCCCTCTGTTGCCCACCATTGAAGACTCTTCAGAAGAGGATGAGCTAAGAGAGGAGGAAGAGCTTTTAAGAGAGCAGGAGAAGATGAGAGAGGTAGAACAGCAGAGAATAAGAAGCACAGCACGAAAGACCAAAAGGGATAAGGAGGAGCTGAGGGCACAGAGGCGCAGAGAAAGGTCCAAGACACCACCTAGCAACCTTTCCCCAATTGAAGATGCTTCCCCTACAGAAGAGTTAAGGCAAGCAGCAGAAATGGAAGAACTTCATCGTTCTTCTGCTTCTGAATATTCGCCTCAAAGTCTCGACTCCGAGGCTGAGGGATATGAATCCAAAATCTATAAGTCTGGCAGCGAGTACAACCTGCCCACATTTATGTCTCTATACTCACCAATGGAGAAATCCTCCACGACCACAACAACCACGGCCCCTTCGTCCACATCCAAACCTCTGAAGAGTGCTGAGGAGGTTTATGAGGAGATGATGAAAAAGGCAGAGATGCTTCAAAAGCGAGAGAAATTACAACAGCAGCAACAACACGTACGACATGGGCAGTACTACGAGGAGGATATTAATGGACAGAATTATGATGATGACTATGACTATGAGCAAGATCAGACTGGATACGACAATGAAGCAGCAGAGACAGAAACTGATATCTATGAGGAAATTCGACAAACATCTCAAAACATCACCAAGATGCAGCAGGCTACAGATGAGCAAGTAGAAATTGAAATTGAAAGCTCTTTTCCAGACAAGCAGCTCTTAGACACCGGCTCGGCTTTTGCTAAGCTGCTGGAGCAAAGCAATGCTCTCCTAACTCCAGGGACCAGCCCTACGCAGATCTCCGCTCCTGTTTCTTTTGCTGAAACTGGAGGTAGAATACCAGATGTGAGAGTGAGCCAGCATTTCACTGCAAAAGATGGACACAAAGACAGGATCAAAAGCCAAGCAGGAAAGAATGGAATTACTCCCACTGTGGCTGCTACCACTATCGCAGCTTATGGCGTTTACGCCAGAGATGCAGTAACTCTCTCTCAACTTGGTTCAAGCCACACCATGACAACTACTCAATCTGACACATCTCGCAGACACACGGGAAGTTTTGCTACATCCTCAGCAACCGTGTCAAGTGTATGTAGCAAGATTGCTGAGATTACACAGGCTTACAGTCAAAGAGAAGTGATCACCAGGAGGGTTGGGGAGACCAGAGGTGTCCAAGTGAGAGACAGCTCAACATCTTCAGCTGAGAGGATTATTGAGCCACGTTCTCCTAAATATACCACTTATTACAGAAGCACCAGTCCTCCTTTGTCTCCATCACCACCACCACCCCAGAGTCCCACTCGCTCTCCTTCTAGAAGGGCTACTGCAGAGTTCTCTACACAAACGTTCAGCTCAGCACTGAGAATTGAACCTACTGGTTCTGGGCCTTCATCCCCTGTGACGGCTCAGGCAACCCAGACATCACATAGATCCGTTTCTCAACGGTTGCATAGACAGCAGTCTTCCCAGGATGCCCCGTACTCCCCTCCTCCAGGGTCAGCTAGGCCAATGACTGTGAACACTGCTACTTCCCCCTTGTCCTCACCTACTCGATTTAGTCGCCAGTCAACATTTGACAATTACTCCCCTTGTGGCAGCCCCCCAGATACGCCACCTTACCAACAGTCTCCAACACGCAGCTTCTATCAAACACAAAGAGTAGAAAAGGTAAGTGTAGGGACGAGTATGGTCACCACAGCCAGCTTATACAGCAGAGGGTCTGTGTCAATGGACAATATCTCCCTCTGTAGAATATCCACAGTCCCAGGCACCTCAAGGGTAGAACAGGGTCGTATGATCCAGGGCGGTAGTGTTGTGGATCTCAGGACAGCCACCAAACCAGCTCCTATTATCATGACTGACCAGGGAATGGATCTTACCTCTTTAGCTACAGAAAGCAGAAAATATCATGGTGGACCAGAGGGTAGTAGACATTCAACAATTATACAGCCACTGATTATGAACTTAAACACCCAGGAAACTACAACACCAACTACTGTGAGTGTCACTGTAGCAGCTTCTATGTTTATGATGCAGCCCAAGCAGCCTGCAGTTTATGGTGACCCTTATCAAAACCGAATGGATCTGGGTCAGGGCATGGGCTCTGTTGTATGTCTTTCTCCTAACAAAGTGTCCATTTCTCCTCCGACTGACCCATCAATTCCAAAAATCGATGCTAAACTGGAAGATCTTAGTATCCAACAACAAGAACTACAAAAACAACAAGAGAAGCTGCAGAAACAACAAGAGATCCTTGAACAACAGTTACAGCAGCACCATCAGATGCAGCAGCACCAACAGCAGCAGGCAGCTGTTTTGACCAAGTACAACCTTACAGGCCAAGCATCACCTTTACTCAAAAAAAACTTGATAGTCAGCCAGACTAGTGCTGCCTCAGTTGTGGTCAGTGCTGTTTCACCAGTCATTAACCCTGAAGTGTATGGCGCTAGCCCCATTGAGCTGAGAGGGAAGCCCAGTCCTCCTGGTTTAATGCCAGGAGGGAAATCACCACATAGTATGGTAGTACAGATGGATGAAGGACCAGAACCAATCAGGGCAGTAACTCAACTAGTGACGGTAGAAGAAGGTCAAGATGCAGTGGATTTGACAGGAGGCCAAATTAAGCCTGACAGCCAGCCAGCTTGCTGTGATGTTGTTTACAGACTTCCTTTCGGTGCAAGTTGTGTTGGCGGCCCAGAGAAAGAGGGAATAAGACCACCATCTGCCCCTCCTATTACCTATGAGCTTGATCAAGAAAGACAACATGGAAGGTACCATGAATATCCAATGGAAACTCGTAGGGCCTACACATTGCCTTTTCCTGGTAGGCTCCAGCCATCAATGTCTGATACAAACCTTGCTGATGCTGGACTACAGTCCTACTATTCTAAAATTGAACCACACCTCCAACCTTCAGGTGAACTTGCAATGGATTTAACAGCAATGAAGCAGGGCTATGGAGGATACGTGGGGATGCAGTATGGTTCCTATACAGACTTGCGGCATGATGGAGACATATCAGCTCAAACATTGCCTATAAGGAGGTATAATTCCTTGTCTAACATCAGCTCAGATTATGGCTATTCTGCACGTGACATTGCTAGCTTTCAAGAAGCTAACTTGGCTCAGTACAGTGCTACAACTGCAAGAGAGATCAGCCGAATGTGTGCAGCGCTCAACTCCATGGATCGATATGGAAGCAACCCTGACTTGATGCACTTTGGCAGCCTGGGCAGAGGTACTGGTCCAGGTGCCTCCAGACTGGCAGCAGGTCTTGGATTAAGGCAAAACCTTATGTTTGGATTGGATGGAAAGCCACTGTCTCAAAATCAGGCATTAACTAACCTGATCAATGCCCGGCAGGCGAGTCTGAGAGCCATGTATCCTGCTGCTATTAGATCTTCAGATGGAACGATTTACTCCACCATTCAGACCCCCATAGCTTCAACGCTTCCCATTACAACCCAGCCTGCCTCTGTTCTTCGACCACTACTGAGAGGTGTCTACAGGCCATATGCCTCCCCCAGCATGACTCCAGTGCCCCTTTCCAGTCTTACCAGATTACCAATAAGCCCTCGAATGCCCTTGGTTGGACAAGCTCCAGTTTGTTACCCAGCACCAGGTGTTCTTCAAACAACTTCAACCACTTCTTCTACCATTACAGATGCATCGACTTCAGCACCAGTACTGACCCTTGAATCTGCTTCTTTAACTACAAGCTCAGCGATTCAGGCAGAGCCAGTTTATCTTGGCAAAGGTGCTACAGTGACGTCAGCAGAGGTCACTTCAGTACAAGGAGCAGTTGTCATACCATCTGAACCACAAGAGCAGCCAATAAACCTGTCTCAGGCACACCTGAACAGTCAGCAACAGCAACAGAAACAAGTGACAACTGCTCAGCAAGCTTCTCAGCAAGCTCCTCAGCCAGCGTACGCCTATCCACCCCAAGGCCCTGCAGTATGTCATGGCTACACCCAACCTGTGCCAGTCTCATCAGTCGCCACTAGTAGCTTGCCCATTGCAGGCGGTCTTCCCCCATTTCCCCCACCAGGAGCTATTCACAAGGAGGGTGAAACCGAGGCAGAGAGGCTGCACCGACAACAGGAGCAGCTCCTGCAGATGGAGAGAGAGCGCGTGGAGTTAGAGAAACTCCGGCAGCTGCGTCTGCAAGAGGAGCTGGAACGTGAAAGGATGGAGCTGAAGATGCACAGAAAAAAAGAGCAGATACTGGTGCAGAGAGAGTTACAGGAGCTGCAGACTATCAAGGAACAGGTAGAGGATGGAAAAGGACGTGGATTGGAGAATGCAGTTGGTGTGTCAGTGTCTGGTGTTTGTGAGTTTTGAACAGTTGTTTTGTTGTGTAGAAGCTATAAAGAATTTTAAGGGGTTTTTTTTCGTTATTTTTTCTGTTTTCAGACATTTTTTGTGTTTTTCCCTTAGAAAAATTTAATAGCATTCTTTATAGAGCAAATGCATGCTGTTTTTAGCCATTATAACATTTTTTTTCACATTAAGAACATTAAATACTCCTTGAAATAGATTTTTACAGTCTGACATGAGACAAATCGATCTCTCTAACCTAATGACTCATAACCTAAATGGTCCCAATGACATTTCTGAGTCCAGCCTGAATTGCAAAAAGTATGGTATAAAGTTAGCATGCCTTTGTTTACTTTAGGTTTTCTGTACAGTGTTTGCATGAACGTGCCTGTAATTTGTGTGTGAATGAAACAATTTTTTGATTTTTTTTTTCTTTCACTGTTGTCATGTTTAACTTGTTCTGGTTCATAAGAAAACACATTTTGATTTAAAAATGTAAACATTTAAATAAAATGTTTTATTTAGTAAGCAATCATTTTAATTTATTGCTCCTTTCAGCCCTTAACAGACTTTTGAAAATGTTAGCTAACATAACTATTTCTTCTTTTTTAATAGAACAAGCAGTTGAAGGTATTTCAAGTTAACTCTGTTAAACAGGTTTGGATACCTTCTTTGATGAGACTGAACACGATATTGAATGTTTATTATGCATCTCATAATAACATACAGTAGAGGCAAAAACGTCTAACCCTTTCCTTGCACCAACCTGTCATTTCTGCTGCAAAGAAAATGCATTGAATGATTGAGCATTATATGACTGACAGCAATTACCAGTACATGCTGCATTCTATTTCAGTTGCGCTTCAGTTGTTAATCTTTACCAAACATACAAGTTTGACTAATTTAAAATCATTCCTGAAACTAATTCATCAGCACAAGAACAATAATTATATATATATTGTCCCATTTAATTTGAAACTTTTTAAATTTGATTTGCATCTATAAAAGCTAGTTGTGAATTCACCCAATCCCTGCCTTTTTTCTGTTTTGTTTTCCTCTTTCTAGATTTTGTCCATTCTATATTTTCATTGTCTCATTGCTCTTTTCATATCTTTGCTGATCTTCCTCAAACATCTCTACTGTATTATGCCCTTTTCTGTTTTTTTTCTTCTTAGGTGCTACATCAGCAGCAGCAAGAACGTGAGAAACAACTTGTTCTTCAGCGGGAGCAGCTGGCCCAGCAGAAATCCCAGTTAGATCAGATACAGTCTTTACAGAAACAGCTCCAGCAGCAGCTGGAGGAGCAGAAGAGGCAGAAAACAGCTGCTGTGGCTCAGGGCGTGCAGGTAGGAGGTGTAGCTCAACTCTGGTCTGGATTTATTACAACTTCATTGACATTAACAGGCAACCATGTAAACGGCTTTAACTTTAGAAGAAGAGTGACTGAGAGTTTAAGACCATTTATAATGATCTGAAAAGTAGGGGAAGGAAACTAACACTTTTGTTTTAATTCATACATCAGGGCTATTCAAATGGTGGCCAGATGCGGCCCACCGGTGATTTAATTTAATCAAAAATTTATTTTTAATGTATGGTTTAATGCAAAATATCTCCCGCCAAGTCATGCTATAATTTTTCTATTATTTAACAATAACAGCATTTTCTGGAAGGAGGGATTCTTACTTTTTGATCAGTTAAAATGTGTGTGTCAAAGCCGAACATTCTATCCCCCACTTTTTTATTTTTTTTCCAGCTGGATATGACTGGACAGCCATTGCACCCCTACATGGACCCTCAGATGAGCTCTCGGTCCCTCCCCAACTCTTCTTCAGAAATGTGTTTAAGGACCCAAGAAGAGCAAATGGAGACCAGAGCTGGCATGAGGAAACACAGCTCCCTGAGCAGACTGAGCAGGGACACTGCGGATGGCGATGGTGTGGTGTTCTACGGTTCCTCCCGCAAGAATGTGGATAGCTGTGTCCAGACTGATGATGAGGATGGAGAGGAGAGGTAACAATATTAGTGTTTGTTTGTTTGTTTGTGGAATGAAAAAGGGGATGTATACCATAGGTAGAGACTAAATGTAGCTGATTTGGTCTGCATATTTATTATGAAAGTGTTACTTAGGTTATCTTACTATTTTTACCACTTTTAAAAAAGTGTTAACTTTGACTTTCATCCATCCATTCATCTTCCTTACCCACTTTTCCTTTCCAGGCCATAGGGGAGCTGGTGCCTATCTCCAGCAGTCATTGAGGTGGGGTACACCCTGGACAGATTGCAAGTCCATCACAGGGCACTTCATGACTCAAAACTAGATTTTTTTTTTCCTTTTCATTATGCAAACAAATAGAATCTCAGACTAAGTACAAATTAAATTTACTGGAGGTAAAATTCCTGTTTTTTAAGGAAATGTTTGGGTGCATTCAGGGTTTCCCCAAGAAAACTGACTTAAGTCCTAAGCTGGAGTGACCCACTGTGTTTCTGTTAAATAAAAGTAGACAGGAAATTTGAAAATATGATAAATGTATATGTAAATATTTGCCTTTGTAACCGGATCTTTTCTGCGTTGTGCTGGTTATGAAGAAATAATTTGCCGTGACACTGGTCGTCTTTGGAGAAGCTGTTTCCCCCATTTATTCTGACGAAAACAATAAACAGAATGACAAGAAGCGTGGGAAGGATTCTGAGCATGCAAACAAGATAAAGTTTTAAGTACTTTATTTAAAATGGAGACTGGTCGGGAATCTGAACACCTGGACCGCACACTCTGGAACAGAAATGAGAATGAGAATGGAGCCAAAAAACAAACAAGGAGATATTGCTTGCTCTGCAACTAACCTTCTGGGGATGAGAGTGAATCGACCAGTCCAGGTGAGGATGCAGAGTCCTGTGGTCTTTGGGGCTTGGGCTTGGTTCCGATTTCCTTGGGGCAGGCTGAGGTCAAAAACCGTGTGGTCCGAGATTGTTAGTTAAATCCAAAAACGTGATCCAAGGGGCAAGGTCCAGGTAACAGAAACAGGTCCGAGAGCCGGTGGTCAGAGAGCGAGACAGTGGCAGATAAGGGGCAGACAAAATCAGTAGTCGAGAGGCAGGCGTAAGGGTCATAAACATGGGATCAGGCATGAACTGTGAAAAAGTGCTGGACATCTACTGGGTGTGAACCGTTCAATAATCTGGCAAAGACTGWGTGAGGGAAGGGAGCTTAAATAGGAGGGAGGACAGGTGAGGCAGATGAGGCTGATTGCTGTGGCACAGGTGAGGAGGAATGGAGTAATCAGAGGAGCTGAGGAGAGTGACAGAGGGGCAGGAACAGATGGAGCAGCCCAAAACATGACACAGAAAGGCAACCACGTTATGCTCTGCCCACTCCAAGTCCTCTCCCACAGGACAAGATCCGAAAGGGCTCAACCATGTCGCATTATTTTTAATATCACCAAAGGAAACTTTATACACTTAACATACCTGATGAAAACAATAAACAGAAAGGCAACCACGTTATGCTCCGCCCACTCCAAGTCCTTCATAAAACAAAAGTATAAAACAAAACTAAAATCAGATCCTGTTACTCCACAGTCATAAATTCACTCAAATATTCACATTACAGGGTGTGTATATATATTTTTACAGTGACGATGATAACAAAAATGCACTTGATACATCTATAAATAAACTGGATGTATATAGATGAAAAATCAATAGCACCCACCTCTCCCACAGGACAAGATTCAAAAGGGAGGAGCCCAGGGGAATACAACCAATTTAACAAAATAATHCCACAGAAGAAGAAATAAGGAGGGGCTTCAATCACAAGGTCACATGCCTACAGTGGTTTTCATTGTGTTTACAGCCAGGTATAACAACTTAACAGAGCATTTTGTGTAATTATAACAAAGTGCAAAATACACATTGGTTACACTTTATTATATCTTAATGTTAAAGACCTCACAATAATTATCAATAATAATTTATTATAGCAGAGATTATACATTTTTATTATTGTTATTATTATTATTATTATTATTAATAATAATAATAATAATAATAATAATAATAATAAGCAATTAGAACTTTGTGCAGCAGCAGAGGGACTCAGTTTAAATCTCCTTTAGAGCTCCTCTGTGTGATTCTAAGTGTGACTTGGAGTATGGATAGTTGTTTGTGTCTTTGACTGTGTCGAGACCTGTCCAGGTGTCCCCTGCTTTCACCCAAATGCAGCTAGGCTCTATTCATCTATTAACTATAAAATCTTAAAACCTCACCCTCTTTGTACTAATCGTTGTATTTGTAAAATCTCAAAAGACCTCAACCTAATTATTAATCTAATATTGGTTATGTAATTTTAAAAAAACTAACATAAGAAAAGAAATTACAATCACTGTGAAAATGACTTGTTTTGCTATCTGTGCCCCAAAGGGTTAATATTTCAATGGGGTGGAGTTAGGCGTATGGGACAGAGCCGTGCTTGCTGCCGGGACAGAGAGGAGACAGGGCGGAGTGGTAAACTAGCTCTGTTTTTCCAGTACCTCCTGATAAAGAAAGAGTTTAAAGATGACTATGACTTTTTATTTTTTTTGCACATTAAGGGTCATTATGATAGCTTTTAATGCTATTTTTAGCACATGATCCACAGAGGGTGTTGGTAAAACAAATGTTTAACCAGCTGGGGAGGCATGTCAAGCCTGGTGGCCCACCAGCCTAATAATACACTAGAGCAGAGGAGCCCAAAGTGGGGCAAAATTGGCCCGCCAAGCCATTTGATTTGGCCCACCAACAGTTGCCAAAGTTACAAAGTTGTAACCTGTTATCCTATAGGTAGAAACACAGTGTTTCCATTGGTCGAATGACTATATAAAAGGGCTGTAGTGAAGGTAGTTTTCAGTCATGGTGTTGAGTTTATCTTTGATTTAAAAGGATTAAACATGAAACATGAAATGACAACAAGAAATATTTAGATCAGATTTTACCCCACATGTAGATTTGCACAATTTATAAGGCCACAAAAACTCATATTTTATCAATTTATGAGCCTTTGCTACTTGAGCGTATGGCAGACTTTCTCCAAGTGCACAGACTAAAAGAAAAGAGGGTCATTGCACAGCTTAATCATTAAAAATAAACGACTTTACTTTAAAAAGTATTTGTATTTCATGTATTATATATCTGCATTTGGCCCGCAGCCATGGATAGATTTTCATTTTTGGCCCCCTCAGGGAAAATGTTTGGGCACCCCTGCACTAGAGGAAACCCTGGGTGCATTTTTAACTCTGAAACTTAACATTTGTGCAGAAGTCACCAAACAAGTCATTTTCAACACAGAACTTTGTATTTCTTTTTAAAAGGGAAACAGACTTTTAACTTTAACCTTTTTTTCCTGTTTTGTCAGTAAACATCTGGCATTTGTAACCTACCAATCAGCCCAAAACTGGAGGAAGAAACATGAACTGTTATGTTTCCTCTTGCTGTCAATAGGTACATGATGCGTCATCGCACCAGGAGACGTGGTCGTAGCGTTGACTGCTCTGTCCAGACTGACGATGACGAGGACAAGGCTGAACATCCAGTCCGCCGAAGGCGTTCCCGTTTCTCGCGACACTCTGAGTCCAGCGCTGGCAGCAGCACCGCTGCGACAACAACCTCAGCCTCAGACACCAAACCTGACACGTCCAAGATAGTTTCCTCCAGTATCGCCATTCAGACCATCAGGGAAGTGTCTTGCCAGACAGAAGTGGAGCACCTAGGAAGAGTCTCTCCAGCAATCCATGTGACAATGCCGGATCCCAACAAAGTAGAGATTGTCCACTACATTTCTGGACCTGAACGAACACAAAAAGGACAATCTCTTGCGTGCCAAACTGATCCAGAAGCACAGTCACAGGGTGTTGTAGCCCCCCAGCTCAGCGTACCAACTACAGTCAGTCCGTATTCTTCCTCTGTCAGTACAGGAACACAGCAGTCCAGTTCAGCTGACCTTCTGACCCACCAGCGCCAGCAGCAGCACGTCACGGCTAATGCAGCCAAATTTGAGCGTCGCCGCCCCGACCCGCTCGACATCAACTATCAGCCTCACAACCACCTTCACAACGAGTCCATCTCCAGCATCATCCGTCAGCAGCAGACTACCCCGAAATCTCCACAGGTCCTCTATTCTCCTGTCTCCCCAGTGTCCCCTCATCGCCTGCTAGAGACCTCCCTGTCAAGCGAAAGACTGAACAAGGCCCACGTCACACCTCAGCAGAAGTCCTACACCGCCGAATCCCCACAGCGACACCCCTCTGTGCCCCGACCCATCAAGAGTGCTCAGAGGTCCATGTCAGACCCCAAGTCCCTCAGCCCCACTGCAGACGAGCACACCAAGGCCAGGCTATCCCTGTATCAACAACAAGCACTACAGAACCAGGTAAAGCTACTAAAATCATTGCAGTATGCACAAATTATTCATTTGGCATCAGATTACAATCTAGAATAGAGTGGGATACCTGAGCTAAAATCATTTTCTTGTATTTTTCCACATCTCAGGAATACTTATCAAGTTTATCTAATCTGCAGGTTGTATCTTTGACACCGTGCACATGTATTGCAAAAGTTTAAGGCAACAATCAAGCTCAGTATGATTACATGATAAATGACAATGTTTAATATATAGATTAAGTGCATTATGGTGAAACAAGTAGCTGCAGTTTAAAAAGAGACCTTTGATAGAAGCAGACAGGAAAAAACATTCATAGTTCTGTGCATTAAAACTGGATTATGTAATTTTTTTTACTTCTCGCTCTTGTTATTATACAGTTTATGAAATCATACAGTGCATACTTTCCTAGTAACTTTACGAAAATCAAAAAGGTGGAACATTCTTTAAAGTTTAATCAGACAACTAAAATTTTACTTATTTAGTTATCTGGTTCCATATCTCTCAATTTCTATCAATATCTACACATTTTAACACTAGATACAGTAGAAAAAAATTTAAAGAAATGTTTTTAAACTTCAGCCATTCAAAGCAACTAATAAGAGTTATTGTACTAGGTTATTTGTTTGCAGTCACGTTTACTAATTCTTTTACTTCTGTATGTCTTCTAACACAAACTTCACTTTTGCTTCCTGTTGTCCTTGTCTGTCTACGTGTCTCTTTTGTCTTCTTGTATGTCCCCTTTTGTCCTTTTTTCATTTTCTCAACTTCTTGACCGTTTTTTTCTTTTTGAGTGTTTGTTTTTCTTCTTCCTGCTTTCGTCAAATCTTCATTCATTTAAACTTCTTAAACTTCAACCCTCAAACCTCTAAAATTCTCCTCACATCACTTTTTGTTTCCTTTTTCTTTATTTTATTCCCTGCATCCATCTTAATTTAACTATTACCTCAATCGCCACATTCTGTCTTCCACGTTTTTGTTTATTGTTCACTATGTTGTCTTGTTTTCTTCTTTGTCCACCTGTGGTAATCGTTTCTTGCATTTACATGGTCCCTGGCCATGTAATGACTTAACTTTGATTTGGTGAATCTATTAACTAACATTTCCTGTCCTTTAACATTTTCCATCTCTCACCTGGTTTCTATTTTACTTTCTCACAATTATGTCCCATTGACTACTCTTCAACCCCTTCTTGCTCCTTTTCTTGTGTTTTTTTCTCTCCAAATGCTCTCCTTGTTCTTTTGCCCTCCCTATTTTTCCCCACTCTTCCATCCTTTCCCTGTCTTTCTCTTTCTCTAGCTGGCTGCCTTACAGCAAAGCTCTTTGCTTCGCAAGGTCAAGCGAACCCTGCCCAGCCCTCCTCCAGATGAAACTGCAACATCAGCTCACCTCTCCATGATGACGCCTGCCCAACAACATCTCTACCTGTCCTCCGTGCCCAGCCTCAAGCCCAGTTCAAGGTCTGGCCTGGCTGCAAAAGCCAGCCTACTGAAAGATCTCACCCATGAGCTGAAGGCTGTGGAGCAAGAGTCAACCAAACTTCGAAAGCAGCAAGCTGAATTGGAGGAGGAAGAAAAAGAGATTGACGCTAAGCTGAGATACTTAGAACTGGGAATCCACCAGAGGAAAGAGACTTTGGTAAAAGAGAGGGAAAGAAGGGACATTGCCTACCTGAGATGTATGGGTGACACCAGGGACTATATGTCTGACAGTGAGTTGAATAACTTGCGATTAGCAGCTGCAGCTGCGTCACATGAAACGAATGGACTTCTAACAAATAGACCAAGCACTGCTCCACTAAGCCAGTTTACCAGTGACCTCAACACAGCTGCCCAGTACCCACCGACCTCATCCTTCCTCTCCTGTCAGTACCCCCAGAGTCAACTTACTGTACCGTCTCAGCAGTCAAGTGTCCCCTACCAGTCATCCACATTCAACCAGCCTCCTTACCCAACAGTGTCCCAGTCACAGGCACTGCCACAACCAGTACCCCTTCAGAGCCATGCCCCTCCTCCTGGACCTTCCTACCAGCCTCAAACATCCTATCCTTCCCACACCTACCCCCAAACTCAGCCCCCATACCCACAGACAGACAGTGGGTTACCAGCTGCACCTCAACCTCAGCCTCCATCGGGGCCCACAGGTTTCGGGCCTGCACCACCTGGTCAGCCCCCATACCCCACCCACAGCTCACCTTATCCCAGCGCTGTGTCCCCCTACCCCAGCCAAACAACCCCATACCCTGGGCAGCCTCAAGCGGACATCCTCACAGTTCATTCAGGAAGACCGAGACAGACTTCACTAGCTGAACTTGAGCACAAGATGCCAACTAACTACGAGACAATCAGCAACCCCACAGTTGTGGTCACCACCACAGCCCAAGATGTTAACTTTTCCAGTGGAGCCCCATCCTATGGTCAGTACACCGGAACAACAACCATGGCAAGCACCTATGGGCCTTATGGGTCTGCTCCTGTGTCTAGCAGTTATGGTGGTTACTCTACAATGCCACCAAGCACTTATGGTCCGTACACTTCAACCACAGCTACTTCATATGGTCTGTACACCACAACCACTGCTAATACTTATGGCTACACCACCACCACAGCCAGCTCTTATGGACAATACACCTCCACCGTTTCCAATGCTTATGGACTTTCTGTAGACAGTCCTTCGACCTATAGCACAGCAGATGGAATGTATGGGGCCCCTGGCTTAGAGCAAAATATCCCAAGGAACTACATGATGATTGATGATGTCAGCGAGCTGACAGCAAAGGATGGGCTGGGCACGACAACAGGAGACATGATGCATCATGGCAGCAGTGGGCGTTACCCAGGCGATATCCATGGCCATGGCAGCACACCTGGCAGCACAGCACGTGGGGGAACTGGCGGCTCCCCTTATGGCAGGGCACCTGAGGAGGAAGCAGCGATGCAAGAAGAGCTGTACGACCACCACGGCAGGGGTAAGAGCAGCTACAGGCACGGACCTCTAGGGGGCAGCAGCAGCAGCGTGAGCGCTAGCATGGGTGGGGGATCCCCCTATCACTATGACTTTGACTTCAAACATGGCAGCATCCGCTCCGGGGTTCAGAAATCTCTGTCATCCTCCAGAAGTCTTCTGGCTCCTGCTGTCATGTCATCCAAGCGCAGCAAGCACAGGAAACTGGGGAGCATGGAGCAGAAAATTTCAAAGTTTTCTCCAATTGAGGAGGCTCGAGATGTGGAGCTTGATCTAGCCTCCTATACCTCAGCAACAGGTGAAGCGTGCCCCGCCTCCCACGTCCGAGGGCGCCAGCTGATCGAGGATTATGGCTTTAAGAGGAGTGCTTATGAGACCGGCGGTGGCACCACTCACGGTAGTCGATACTACGGCATGATGGTCGACGAGGACGATCGGATTTACTACACCTCCACTGGCCGCTCTCGTTCCACCGGCTATGGCATGGACAAGATCTCCTCCAGAGATTACCACGGATATCGAAGCCGATCCTATGAGAGAGATGACCGCTCCTACCGATCTGGCTACAGAGGCCGCATCCCAACCAGGCAGTACTCTGAGGAGGAGAGCCCGCTGAGCCCCTTGGGAAGGTTCATGAGTTCTAGACGATCTTCAAGCTTAGGTCCCGACCCATATGACAGCTGCAGCAGTAGATACCATTACTACTATGGCCAGTATGGTTCCAGTCACTCGCTGCCAGATGTTCAAGACCACATAAGGGACCTTCCTCGGACACATGTCTACAAATCGGATGATACGTACATTATAGATGATTATCATTGTGCTGTGTCAGACAGTGAAGGTAAATGTGGGAGCTGAATTCCCACACTGTCTCACTACCTACTACTGCTCCCACCGTTTATCTGAACATCCCCCACCCACCCAGAAGCTAAGCTTAGCAAACAGAAAGAAAAGCAAAGGAGAGACAGAGATAGCAGTTGCATGTCAGTGTTTTCTTCCTCCTGAGAGTCACTTCGAGCTCTGTTATCAGTGGACTGCTGTCTGTCTGTCTGCCTGCCTGTTCGTCCTTCCGCCTGTCCGTCCAGCCGTCTATTTGTTCAGTACACGCATGGTTCTTCGACGTGGTCGTCCTTGTCTTCTCAACACACTGATCGCTCGAGAGGTCTTTGCACGACAATAATGGTTCTATCTCTTTTAATGTTTTTGCCACTGATGCTTTGTTTATGTGTTCAATTTATGAATCTATGTCAAAACTGCAAAACCATCTTTTACAACATGCTTAAAATTTAACTTCAGTCTCGTGTTATTACAGTTTTCACAGCAGCTTTTCTTTGGGTTTTGTCGTATCTATTAACAAAAAATGGTTTGACATGAAAATTGTTCCATAATGTGGTTGATACAAATTTTTAAAAGGCAGCTGCTAAAAGGGACAGTTTTGCAGTTTTTATTTTTACTTGTTATCTTGTCTGAAGTCAATATGTGATGTAAACACTGCATGGATGTAAAACGTCTTTATTTTTTGCCTTTCTTTCTGTGTCTTTCCCTACTTTCCATTTTCTTTTGCATGCGGTTGGTCTTCCTTCTGTCCTCTTCCTTCTTTCAGCCTGCATGCCGCTGTCTCCGAACGACATGGAGATTGACTGTGATCTGCTCTCGGTTTCCAAAGCCTACCACCTTGGCCAGGAAGAAACCGACTGGTTTGAGAAACCACGCTCGAGTTCGCGACATTATGGCAGCAGCCACTCGTCTGGGAGAAGTCGGCACGGTGTCAAACACACCTACCATGATTATGACGAGCCACCTGAGGAGGACCTGTGGCCCCAGGATGAATATGGCCACGGAGGGCGGCATTCATCATCCCGTGACCACAGGCACCATGGCACTTCTGGCCGCCACTCGTCCTCGTCACGTCACACTGATGATCCGAGGTCCTCCAGGTCAACAAAGGGGCACCCCAAGGACCCTTCTATGCACAACGATCCCTCGGGACGATCTTCGTCTACAGGGAGGCGTGGTGAGTCAAGGTCAAGAGGATATCACTCTTCGGACTACCCAAGGGATCCATCTGGACATCATCACGGCCAAAGAACTTCCAGGCAGGGAGACCCACACAGGTCCTCACGCAGCAAGTCCCAGGGACCAGTAGACATGCAGGGTCAACCACCGGGTAAATATAACACACCTTTATATCTAACATATATGATTGTGCAACTAAAGATAAAAGATAATCACTTACTATATAATACATTGAGTTAAATTTACCATCAAATTATTGTCTTTGTAGAGCATGAAATAAAAACTAGTGGTTATTTTACTATTTGCTTTATTTGTTTTAAATTACATTACATTTTTCTAAGCACTTCAAAATGGATTATGAGCTTAAAATACTTAAACATGCATAATTGTTTTAAAGTAATGTTAATAAATAATCAAAAATACTGTCATTCCACCAGTTCATAGAACATATGTAGATCACAGTAGATTTCTGCAAATTTTACCAGTAAAATACTCTGAAGCAGGATTGTCAGAAAAACAGACACTCAACACACAGCGAGCGTAGTCCCACAAGAATTACCACATCTTAAAATATCCATCAAAACAAAGTGACTGTTCCACATAATTTCATTTAGCATCCTGTTCAATTGCTAATGCAGAAATACAAAGTGGATGAACAAATATTTGATAAAACGTTTTTGGAGAGATCATGAACGAGATGGGGGATCCAAAAGGTCAAAAGTTTTCTCTTGAGTGAGTTTTGTCTTTTTTCTAAGAACTCAGAACAAAACAGAGATGCATTTATAAATGTTTGGTTTCTTTCCTCCAGGTTGAAAGCTTCAGGATAGCAAGAGCAATAATGACAGACTTATCTTTGATTTAATTTATTTTCCTGAGGACAGTACACACTTGTTTTCCCAAACCCATGTTTATTTATAAGAGAAAATATAGAACTGTGTGTCTTTGGTTGTAATTAATGCCAAAAATAATCTGCAAATATAAACAAACCAGATTAAGATGCTTCATACTCATAAACCGATTGTAAAAAACCAGCTACAATACATTTTTCTCATAAATAAGACCTTGAACCATATATTTTAATGTGAAAGAGAAACTGTTTCTCCTCCAGACATTAAACTTTATATGAAACACTGTCAGGCCTGGAAAATTACTGCAGTAACAATAAGCTCTGATCCTTTGATAAGATCCTTTTTTTTTAAATCATGTCTGACGTAGTAATATTTAATAGCCTTTGCTGTTCAGATTAATTTTGATGCTCTTTTGCTGTAAACAACCCCCTCAGGGATCAACAGTTTTTAATTAACAATATCCTGTGTAACTTTTCAAAGGAAATGTTTTCCCTGAAGGCAGGACTGTTGACATGTTGTGAGCTCCGTACTAATAAAATCACCTATACCACTTTTGCTCACAAGATTTGCTGCTTGTTATTGTCTCACTCCTGCTTCTTCTAGACGATGCTTTTAAACACAGCATTGCGCCGTTTTGCAAAGCGCAACTTCAGTTTGATAAAAGCCAGTGTCTCGGACTTACCTGTAAGTGTTTTATTACAAAATAAAAAAGGATCAACGCTTTTTTTCTTTTATTCAGGTTCTTCCAGGTCGGGCAGCGGCTCCGGTCGGGTTCAGGGCTCTGCCAGTGGGCCTGCAGGATCAGGGCGACAAGGTGGTCCAGGTTCTCAGACAGACATGACTGCGGGACAGAGGACCCAGCTTCAGCAGCAAGCCCAGACATCAGCAGCCAGACCGGGACAGCCCGGTGCCACAGCAGCCCCTGGCCTTCAGCCGCAGACGCCGAACCAAGGACAAGTCATGGGGCCGGGCCAGGCCAAGCAGGGCCAGATGGGACCAGCTGGTGGGCCAATGGGCCAGGCCAGGCAGGCAGGTCCGGCAGGAACCACACCTTCCACCATGGTGGGTATAGACAAAATAAAAGTAGTATTTACACTTTTTTTAAATTAGCTGAGTTAGAATCATTTATATGTTGGAAAAGACTGACAAGCTGTAGCTGCCATGTTGAATTTGGTTGAGTGAAATCTTTTCAGAAACCCTTGAGATATTTTGGAACACTACAGACAAACACATGCACACACCTGCTTCGCCTTTAATGGCAGATGATAAAAACTCTTGTTTCCCCATAACTAACATAACACAAGGTGTACATTTGTCTCACATTTATTGTCTCAAAACATTTTCATCCTAAATCTTCTGTTTCTGGTTTCCTGAGGCAACGAAAACTGTTTTACGATTAGAACGAAATCTTAGTCTTTCGGACCTAATTTTCAGCCTGTCTTTGTGCTCAGGCCTCATGTTCCTCCATTCCACAGACTCCCTACATGCTCTCTGCGATAAGAGACACCCACCCCCCTCCACCACCACCACCACTGTCCCATTTCAGATAGTTTATTGAAATTCTGATGTGCCTGTGTTGGCAGGCCTTATCTAACACTGTGATTACCACTGAGGCAGCAGATAAGTCCGTGCAGCTGATTCACTGGGTGCTAGACGCTTATGAACACTGGCATTCAAGATTCTGCCTGCAAAAATCCATTCTCGTCCTGCATTTAAAATATAAATCCATTTCAATTTATTAGCCAGCTGGAGTGCAGAACTGTGGTGATGACACTTAACACAACGTTAGAAATAGGTTAATGGAACTAGCTTCAGGAAATATGCATATGAATGTATTCCTGTCAGTTATTAATGTTTTAAAATTATTCATGATGTGCTTCTTGCATTTGGATGCTGTTTAGGATTTTCGTAAAGCTTCATTGTCAGTATGTTTATAAAACTGCTTTATGTTTAAAATCAAAAAAAAAAGTCGGTCCTCTGGATGGGTTCTTCTTTAGTGAAACGTTTCGTCTCTCCTCCAAGAGACTTCTTCAGTCTGATGAGTTTCAGGTGAACTCAGCCTTATAAGCACTGCTTATGCTTTGTGTTTAATAATTTTGGTTTCACCTACATTTGATTATATCTGTGTCAAAGCTGTGAAAATAATCAAAGCAGGACTTTCACCAATATCTTAATGTGCTTCTTAGAGGTAACACAGTTAAGAAGGGTTAAGCCTGAAACATACTCGCTCCGACGCCGACGGGTCGACGCGCAGTCACGTGGTTGTTCGGCAGTCGTTTTCGCACTGACCTTTCATAGTCCCTACGACACCCCGCGCCGAGTTCGGGAAACCCCCCTCCCTGAAACAGACATCACTGCATGGAGATCCCCCACAACAGCCGATAATGCAGAAAAAAAGTCAGACTCGTCACTCACCCGACGTATTTATCCACATCTGTCCTGATTAAAGCTCCACAGTTTTTATCAGTCAGATTCATCCGTGCAAATCATCTGTTTAATCTCCATTCATGAGTTTTTCACGGAATAACTATGTTAATAAAACTCTACTTCCTGGTGTCGGGAACTGCTTTTTTTTTTTTTTTTTTACCCAGTGCAGCATCGCATTCTGCACAAACAAACAAGCCATAAGTTTTTCACGGTTTGACTATCTTATAAAACTCTGCTTTCTAGTCTGGGAGCGAGTCATTCTTTTTTCTAGCTAGCTAGCTAACAATAATTGAGCTCTACTTGGTGTTTCATGCATAGAAACAGTGTTTTAACACCTATTTTATAAACATTGAGACATGTACAACTGACTAAATGTGAAATAATAATACAGAAATACTATTAAATGTAAAAGTAAGAGAGTTTTACTCTCTGATGAGTTGCTGTCTTGAATTCTGAACTCCCCCAATTTCTGATAAGGAATTACCTCTGGAGGGGGAGTTCCAGTTCAAATGTATGACCAGTACAACTGGGCTGCAGCAAAATTAGTCAGTGAAAATGAAGTGAATTAGAGATTTTACACTGTGATTTTTACCATCTGCCAACTACCAGCCACTTTTGAACCATGTGCACCTCCATCTAGTGGTGGAATGTTGTCATTTTGCCAGAGTTGTAAAGTAACTAAGTACAACTACTTTGTTACTGTACTTAAGTAGAAATTTTGGTTATCTGTACTTGTCATTTTTTTCAGCATATCTTTTACTTTTACTCATTACATTTTTACATAATTATCTGTACTTTCTACTCCTTACATTTTTTTAAAAAGGTGAGAAGTAGAAAGTCCTTACTCCTAATCTATTCCACGTTATTATAAAAAAAATACAATCCTGATAAATTGTGTCTCCTGGATCAAGTAAATTTAATTGTGGTTAGATGATAAGTACAATTTATACCATTCTGACACCATAATAGCTTGTACAAAATCCATCACAGCTGCACGCTGTTAGAAAAAAATATTTTTTGGGGAGGTCACCTCTCAATAAATGTCATTTAGGAAAATCTAACTGCTCCCTTTTACTCAGTACTTTTACTTTTATTACGTAAGGACATTTTGTGTCTGAAATTTACTTTTAATACTTAAGTACAAATCATTATCAGATACTTTGACTTTTACTCAAGTAATATTCTTAGAGAAGACTTTAACTTTTACCAAAGTATTTTTATGATAAGATACTTGTACACTTACTCAAGTATCACTTTCAGGTACTTCATACAACACTGCATTTTGCAAGTAAAATAATCAACATCCATCATGAGAGGTGTAGTTCAATGTCAATGTTGGCTTTATTTTAAGACGTTAATATAACTTAGATGCTTTTCAGGGCCACATAAAAGGCAGTGGTGGGCCACATTTGGCCTGCGGGCCTTGAGTTTGACGTAGCGTTAAGAGCTAGTCCAACTGATCTAACAGAGCTAGATTTTATTTTTTCTTTCTAAGAAGTATCTGGGGAAGAAAAAAAGCCATCTACCTACAGAAAGTATGAAAGTTGCCAAGGAGATGGAGTCTTGATTCGGCCTGACATGCCTGTGAGCACGTACACAGTAAACACAGAGAGCAGCAGGCAGCTGCAGCGCCTCAGGATGAGTCCAGGATACAGCTCAAGACTGCTTTAGCCATAAACAGGGCAGCTGGTTTGTTACCGCCCTGGACTTCTAATCCCCTCTCACTGCAGCCACTGTGGCCCCGAAACGACCATTACTGATTCCCAAACTTTTTCCTTTCCTCTTGTCAAAATAAATTGACTGGTCCAAATAAATAAAATAAACTCAAGGGAAGAGCATTCTTAGCTGTCTTCTAATCTCTAATCTGTAATTTTGTGCCTATCTGTCTGATTTTTTTTACATCATCTCACTTTGAGTGACCAAACTAATCCTGCTTCTTGTTGATTTTATTTTGTCAAACTGTATTTTGATTACATAGCTTTTATTTCCTCCTCAGCAGCCTTTGATATAAAGCACTGAGTAGAAGCTAAACACAAGGATGTTTTTCTTCTTCGTCCTCCTCCTTCTCTGTAGATGAAGCTCGACACACCTCCGGTTACAGCTATCGGAGCGAAAGCAGCACCTGTCATGGCCTCCAAGATTGCCCAGCCCCCGCTTACAGGCATAGGTGATGTATACTCAACACACACACACATTGTCAACATTCCAGTCTTGCCAACTTGACCACTATTCCTGACTTATGTAACGACTGAGCACCATTTTATTTGATCTGAAGTTAATCCGACGATAATCCCAGTCAAAAAAAAGCACAAAAGGGAGGTTTTACTTCACAGCCGCAGAGCAGCCTGAATGTGTCGCATCATTACATAATTAGTAAATTAATGTTGTGTGAAATGCTTCTGTTGTTTGTCGAGTGTGTTGGCAGTGTGAGGTATTAAACTGGGAGCAGAATGCAGTTTATGTTCAAACCCTACAGTATCTCACCACAGACGGCGTCCACACTCACAAAATGTCACAAAAACACAATAAAGACTTCAAACTCAGTGATTATTGTTTCATGACTCCATTTCCTGCTGAAACTGCTCACATTATGCCTCCCAAAATCAGACTGTAATGTTAAATAACAGCAGTAGAATCACATCAGATGTTTATGAAACAGACGATTACTGTATTTTTTAAACTTTAATAAAGCCTTAATCATGACACACAGCCCACTTTTTCCTGTGTCCATACATCAACGTATTAACCCAACAGCATTGACTTTATTTTTTACTTCCTTCTCTCCTTTGTGCTCTGTTTGTTTTATATGTTTTTCTTTTTTTCCCCCGTTCTCTGCACTTCGATCCAGGCTCCAAGGCGGCTCCTCGACCTGGAGGTATCGGCAGCGCTGCAGCAGGTCAGCCTGGCATGGAGGGAGAAGGCATGTTTTCCAAGATCCTGCCCGGAGGAGCTGCTGAGCAGGCCGGCAAACTGGGAGAAGGTACAAAACGAAATAAATACATAAGAATGCACCAATAAAACTTAAAGCCGATTTTAAACAGGAGTTGGTTCATTGTTTTGTCTCTGCTTCTTTCAGCCATCTCTGGTTTTGGCAAGAAGTTTACCTCTTTATTCTGAGACACTAATATTAAGGTATGTTTTTCAAGTCCTCCAGTATATATATAGAGAGAAAGAGGCAAGTTGAACAGGAAAGAAGATGATGATTTTTAAAGTAATACAGCTCTGGTTTCTCTCCCGTTTTGTGTGAGAAGTAAAACGTGTGCAGTCACAGTTGGATTGTGCTTTTTCAGTGAGAATGAAACAAAAGGTACTTCTCCTGTTCGGCAGAGTAAACCCATCAGGCAGCTGTGGTTCTAACCAGTTCGTTGTGAATAAAAGAAGTTGATTTTTTTTTCTTTTTTTTTTTCAGTGAGCTGTAAAAATAAAGCTTGTTGGAACAGTGTTGGCTGCTGCGTGTTGTGTATTTTCTCCTTGTTGACAGTGTTGGAGGAGGCAGTTTACTCAGAGCAGTCGGTGTGCTCCTGAAGCAGCGCCTCTTCCTCTGTTTGTTTCTCTGTCTTGACTTGTACTTTTGGTTTTGACTGCTCCGCACAAGGAGGGTGAGAATCTTAACGCCGACAGTGAGAACTTGTTCCTCACATGACACACTGTCTCTATTAAACAGGATGTGTGTTAATGCTGTCAGGATCTCAGGTTTTATTTCTTTTTTTCTTTCTTTCTTTTTGTATTTTTCTGGTTATTTATTGTTGAATTCATTTTTTTTGTGTGTGTGTTTCTCAGTTCATCTTTCCAGTAATTTTCCATTGTTATTCTTTCCTTGCTGGTTCTTCCCTGCCCACTTACACCTGTTCCTTGTTGCCATTTTACCCAGTTGTCTCCATGCTTCTCATCAGCCACTGTTTTTTTTTAGTTGCTCAGTCTTTATTCTATGTCTGTATATTTGCAGAATTATGAAATTGTCAAAATGAAATCCTGAGGCCACGTACCAGAAAAACCTGCGACGTTCCCCCTGCTTTTGTTTTACTCAGAAAAAGAGACGTGAAGAAGAGAGACCGAGGTGACAAGGAGAGGAGACCTGAGCACACTGGTGAGGACTGTTCAACCCGCAAATCCTACTTTTAGATTTGAAGTCAGTGATGGTAGAGGATGTGATAGTCTGCCATTTTTAATTCAACAAATGTTTTATTTGTTCTCTAATGAAGTCATTATCACATTTTTTAATCTGCTGCTGCAGCTGAAGAACTGGTTTCATTTTGGATGAAAAGGAAAACTTCATCCCCATCTGAGTAATATTCAAATAAAATGGGAGTGTACGTTAAAAAACAATGTGTCATTTCTTTTACAATTTGCTTACTTTAAGAGTCGTTTAAAAGCTAAATAAAAGGTTTAGTTGTCCAGCGACTTTTTATTAGTTTGGGATGCATTTGATATTTTAAAATTAGAAATGTTCCAGATGTTTCCTTGCTAAGTCATTAACCCTTTGCTGTAGTTCGAGTTTAAAGATGTGAGAGAAAAATGGAGATGTTGACTAAACTCTTTTTAACTTTCTCCTGCAGCCAACAAGGACTGAAATCCTTTGGATGCTTCATGTTCCAACACAGAGCCAACACTGTCCGAGAAAAGCTGCTGCTCCCTCCGACAGGTCATCCTGTAAGTTATATTCTGAAATATTAGTTTCCCACCAAATTCACTTTACGGGGTTAAAATATTTTTTTTTGTAATACAAACAGAGCATATAATACAGGGAAAGGTTTCAGGGAAACATAAAGCAGAGCATTATTAATGAAACATTTAGAAACAGAATCTTGACTCAACACAGCTGTAGTTGAGTGATTACTGCGCCTCCAGGTGGTTTGCACATCACTCATTTAGGATGTTGTCATGTAGAAAGAAGCTGAACACATCACCTGCCTCTCCTGCAGCATTCTTAAGATTTTTATTTTATTATTGTTTTTATTTATTTATTTATTTATTTATTTATTTATTTATTTTGCAGATGTTGTTTTGCTTCCGGCACCTGAAATCTTTTGGCATCTAGGTTTTGTTGGTTGAACAGCTCCCAACCGGCTCTGCCAGAAGCAAAACTATAATTTAACATAAATGTGATCAGAGAGACGTGTGTTGCTGCTTTTAGTCTGTGCACAAACCTGAAAATCAAATGAAGTAAAAGATAAAAATAATAAAATTAGTTTGTCTTCTCCTAGATCCAGTGAATCCAAATGAATGGAAGTCCACGTAAAGTCCCCATGAGGATAGCAAGACACGTGCATGTGTTGTGTTACCAGTCCTTTGGGGTTCGGTGTTCACTGGATCAGATTAAGTCTAGATGTATGCAGTTTGTTAATCTGGGTCAGGCACAGTGGGGAAAGAAAAGTGCAAGGCACTGATTATAAATAGAAACATAAATCTATTTTCAGATGGGAGTTTGGTGCTGGTCCTACCAGGAAACAGGAGTTCATGAAGCTACAAAGAGACCAGTCGGTGTGATTATTATTGACTCCTGGGACCTCAAAAGGCTGGAAAATTGTATATATATATA